GCCCAAAAGACTATACTTATAACTACAAAAAGCCCATAAAACTCACCCGAGGTACAAGAAGTGTGAAAAAGAACACAGGTGTTTCTCAAAAACCCTTTTGCTTTATCTTTTGGGATAGAAATTAGCGCTAAGCTATTGTTACCCCGCACGAGTTTCAATAAAAAATGGTGAAAAAAGTAAGGAAAGAAAATACAGACTACAGAGAGGGGGAGAGAGAGAGAGAAAGCAATTTCTTGGTAGCTCGAGAGAGAAGAACGTGAGTGGTTTTTGCTCTGATGCAATTCCCAACGTTTTTCTCTATCTCTGTCACTGTTTCACAATCACGCGCCGTTGATTGTGGTTTGAAATGGTATTTTTTTATTGGGTAGAAAATTGAAATGCACTATTTATATAATTACAGGTCCAGTCTACTCTGATTTATTGGTAAATGGTACTAATATACTCCCTCTTATTTTTAATAAATGTCGTTTTGAAAAGTTGTACAATAATTAAAAATATTTTGTTTGTCAATAATAACTCTCATTAATGAGGATAAAGATTGATGTTTTGAGAAAAGATAGAGAGTGAATATGAAAATACGTAGTGTATTTATTAGTTAGATGAGGGTAATAATAGAAAAATATGTACAAAATAGCCAACATTTATTTAACAGATGATCAATTAAGCTAGAATGACAAATAATAAAAATAGGAGTAAGTATTTATTTGAACGTACTGATAAATTTGTGTAATTTTTTCAAATCGTAAAAAAAGAAAAAAAATGAACACTATTTGCATAGTGTACCAAATGTTTATCTAATAGGCATAATGTTTGGGATTTAACTAGGCTATATTTGAATACAAATATATATATATATATATATATATATTTTCCGACACGATAGTAAAAATATATCTTTTCAAAACGAGTTTTTTTATTAATCAGGGATAATTTTAAAAACAATGGTATGGTTAGTTGTTAGTGAATTTGAATTTATATTAAAATAATATTTAAAATAAAATAATTAAGGTTTATTTGATATAAAAGTATGAGAGAGATGATGTAAAGTGATGATTATTTAAAATTACGTTAGTTAATGAACAGTGAATTAAAGTTGATGTTGTGTGTAAGAATAATTGATTCATATCATTTAATTATATTTATAATATTAAAGATAGTGAAGTTGAATTAAAGTTGAGTTGAATTTTAAGTATAAATTGAGATCATTTATAAACAAACACACCTTAAGCGTCTTTTACATTTATGAAGATAAATTCTATAGTTTTTGCCTTTTTCTAATTAATTCCAACAAACACCCCATATTTATTCTTTTTCAATATTAGTTTCGACAAAAATTCTGTCGTGATATTATATAATGATTAGACAATCATAATATTCTTTTGATAAAGATGCATATTTATATTACAATATTTCAAAGAACGGTGCAACATGGCATGGGATATTATAGTGTTATAAATTGCAAAAAATTACGGAAAATAATGTATTTATGTAGCTTCTCTTGTCATTAACACCGTTTCAATTTTTCATGTAAATGCTATTTTTTGTGTTTTTTCTATGGTTAATTTATGGCATAAAGTCCCTTTGTGCCTCACTAGTCAAATGCCTACTAGTAAACTGTAGAGGAGAAAAAATAAATAAACATAGTGATGGGGTCCATAAATATTGTGAACATGATTTCGTAGTTGAGTTTAATTCCTATTGAGTCAACGTGAAAGAGAGAGCCTATAATGAATGTGACACTTTTGGGTCTTACACAGTAGGATATTTTGGATTTGGGCTGAGTCGAATTAGTTGGGCCTATTCAAAAAGGATGGTTTTTAGAGAGTCCGTATAAAATCAACAGTCCAAGACAGCAAATTAAATTTGTCATTGGAATGGAGCTGTTCATTAATGTATCTTGGTTCTGAGTTGTAAAAACTCGAATTCAGCTTGTTCGTTCATATAAACAAATCGAGTACGAAAAACTGAAAGAGTACTCGTTTATTAAAAGAGTACGATCTCGAACACGAAATTTTTGATTAAATTTGAATAATATCTCTACCGCGAATCACGTACGAATACATATTTGGTTCGGGTGGTTTTCTTTTTTCCTTTTTCTTTCTGTCTAGTTGTTGGAAATTTGACTATTAGATATTATATAAATTATGAAGCTTAAGTCTTGCAGTATGATGTTTTGCTGTTCCTCCCCTATCATTACTCTTATGCATTTTTTTTTAGATGTTAAACCATGGAAAAGCACATAATTTGCTTTACGTTTGTCTGCCAAGAGCAAGATGCTTCAAATACAAAACAATCCATTACAAAATTGTGTTAAAGCTTGAAAGAGAATGTGAAAGAAGTTTCATATACATACACAAACACACAGATAGTACAAACAAAAAAATAAATGAAATTAGCAGCCCAAGAAAGAGTATGATAATGAGGCTCAAATTCACAAGTTACTAGCAAGAGATAAAAGAGTAGTATATGCTATAATAAAATGGTTTCATTGATAAAATTCCAATCAATACAACTCCAGAACATAAATCCACACAATGTATCAAAACTTATTCAACAATCATATGTAACCATAAATACAAGAGTTTTTAAAGTTCTTGACACAAAAACCATAAAAATTCACTAACTAGTAACTACACCTTAAAACCTTCACTCAAAATCCCATATAAACTAATATCAATCAAGAAAAGCCTTTGTTTNGCTCGGTGTATCGTCACTCAACCACAATCCTTTGCCCGTCTCCTTATGCTTAAAATCGGGATACCTCGGATTTCTCTTGCTCAATCTAGTATCCCACCATTTACTAGGATTTTCCACCAAATTCATCCAATGGTCCTCCCTTTTCGCCCCTTGATCTCGATTATCTTTCATAAACTTCACATCAAGCTCCAATCTTGCAAGTCCTGGCAAAACCCAGTCAGGGGCATTATTGACCCAAAGCGAATTACCGGTATCTTTGTGCTTGAAGTCCGGGAATTTTTCTTTGACGAGCCCATTAGATTTGTGTGCACGGAAATCCCACCATTGTTTTGGGCTTTTCACAAGATCCCTCCACAAATCCAAGCTTTGATCCTCATTCTTCATCTTCTTCTTCTTCTTCTTGTTAGCACTTGGCGAACGTGAACTTTTCTTCTTGTCACCTTTTTCCGGTTTAGACTCGACACGACCCAAACTCTTCGCCTCATTGTTCGAGTTATGAGAAACAGAACGCGAAGCCCAATCACTCTCACCGGAAAATGTCTTCACTTTAGCTTCTTCAATGGCTTCTTTCCATTTCTGACTAAACTCTTCATCAGATTCCACATTTTCCGATAAAGGCTTCTCGACTTGCACAGACGAAACCCCATTTCTAACCGAACCCCTTTCGTTTTCGAGAGATGAAAAGCCAGATCTTTTACCGTTTTTCTTCGCAAAGCCCTCGACGAAATTGAGATTCTCGGCCACGAGATGGAACCTTCCGAGGTTATTTCCAAAGGCAAATCTCGTGGGCCCCATGCTCAATCTCCCCGAAACGAAAACGCTATCCTTCTCCTCGACGTGACACGCCACGACCTGAGCCAAATCGCCCTCGAATACGACGGGGATCACGAGGGAGTCGCGACAGCCGCCGCCGCCGCCCTGAGCAATCACGGCCGCCGCGAAGTGATTACCATCGGCGCCGGACTCGAACTGAACTGGTTTTCTGACGCTGCCGATTAAATTCACGGAGTTGGCGGCCCGCGCTTGGTACGGAATCTCTATCGGCTTCGGGCAGTCGACGGTCAGCCCGGCCAGCTTCTTGATTTTGTGGGAAAAGCCCGAGTCCGAGGGTTTCTGGGCTCCGGCGTTTTTCACCGGTCGTTGGGTTTTGGGGAGGAATTGAGCTGTTTTGGTGGAGTACGGATTCGAGTGATGAACTCCGGCGATTGATTGGACGGGAAAATGGCGTCCTCCAGAGAATAATTTTGTTCTGGCGAGTAAATTCATTATCGGAATTAGCGTGTTGTTGAGAAAATATCAAGGGTTTATGGGTTAGGGTTTATATTCAGATAAAGCCATAGCCGATAGGGTTTTGTTTGGCTAAAATTTATTTATCTATTTTTCATATTTTGGCATTCAATTATAGAGTAAAAATAATTAGTAAGTTTTATCATGTGGCATTTAACCAGTTGGTTACCATGTGAACCTTTATGAGTATTATTATAATCTGTTTGTTTGGAAAAAAAATAAAAAAAAATTAGTAAGTTTTATCATATGTCGAACATTTATGTGAATTACTGAATCAATCTGAAAAATCAAAATTTTCTTAAAATTGAACATATGTTTGCAAATTACAATAGTAAATAATCATTTACAATATAATGCGTTTAAAATCATCAAAAAAATTGATAAAATTCTGAAAGAATATATACTTGTACACTTTTACGAAAAAAAAACTAAGCATAACTTGTGGTGCAATTTCTCAACGCTTGAGTGAAAATTGAAATAATAACAAAAAATAAAACACAAGCTCTCTTGTTGGATTTGGATACTAACATGGTCTTGATTGTATAAATATACCTTTTTTTTTACTCAAAATGTATAACAATTAACAACTAACAAGGTCTAACAATATTCAATTTTGTTCAAAATGTTACCCATTAAACCACCTCATTGCAGTTTCTGCTTTCACTTTCATAAGATAAACTACTTTTGATCTTTCAATCATAAAACCAAGACATAGTCATCATTTCTCATTAAAATTTCTAAGTAAAATCTCCAATCTCCACACAGTTAGAAATAAACAAACATACACTCTTCTATCAAAACAGTGCTATGATCCAATCTAAGCAAAAAAAAAAATCCAAATTTTATCACTCAATCTTCATTTTCAGGCTTAGTAGAAATCGATTCTCTTCCGGGCCTATGTTTCTTCCATTTTTTCTTCGGCAATGCCATTATCCAATCAGGCACTTCACCACCAGAAGCTGTAATAACATTGGCTATATTTCTCAAAAAGGGAACATCGGTTTCGGTGTATAGTGTTATGGCCTCACCAGTCCTCCCAGCTCTACCCGAACGACCTTTTACCAAAAAGGTCAAAACAGAGAAAAAAAAAAGNAAACTTGGTAAATATCAAGATTATATTTAGTTAATTAAACAACTATGTCTTGAGGTTGCAATTTGTAAAATAGAAACAAATGTTCAGAGATATTTGCAATTTGTAAAGTAGAAAAGATAATCCAAGGAATTAAGCATTTGTATAAGAGTATCTAAATTATTAGGAGATGTAACAATTCATTTATGCATCGGTGGTTATTACTTATTACTAAACAAAAAGTAATACTCATTGAACATACCGATTCTATGAATATATGCAGCTGCTGAATCAGGAAAATCATAGTTGATCACGCAATTAACACCTTTGAAGTCCATACCACGGGCTATAACATCCGTAGCAATCAAAACCCAGGTTTTTCCGGATCGAAAGTTATCAATTGCATGCTCTCTCTACAATCAATTAAATGTGTCAAGACAAAATTCACATATTAAAAAAAAAAGAGAGAGAGAGAATTTGATTTAATGAAAAAAAAAAGCAATGAAACCTCAACCCATTAAAAGCTAAAGAATAAAATTTGTACGAGCACAAAGAATTGTCAGCAAATCAATGGATAGAAGGAAAAAAAATTACCTGTATTTGAGAAAGATCAGCATGTATAACATCAGCTTTGATGTCATCATACTTCAGCTCATTATACAGTTGTTTAGCTCGCTCCTTATTTTGAACAAAAAGTAGCACCGGTGGGCTCAAACTCTGAAATAGAGGAAGAACACTTAAGTAATTACGCTCAGTGATAATAGTCTTTCTTCGGACGATGAATAATTAATGAAGGGTAAAAACAAGTCTCTCCAAGCAGAAATAGCACAAACTACAGCAACATATAAAAAATAAGTAAATAAATAATGCATTAGGAAAGATCACCAATGAAGTCCACTCAAATGGAAAAAAAAAAAAAAAAAAAACAGACGTTAGAAGTTTTAATTATACCTCTGAGAAACTTTGACGAAGGGCGATAAGCTTGCCTTCCTCGCTCCCCACAAATATGAGCTTCTGCTTTATGGAGTCAGATGCAGAGTTTCTGCTCGAATCAAAGAGTAACCAATAAAAGAACAGTTCAAAAACAGAACTCTTTTAGTACGGCATTAATTGTGAAATTTCTCCTCCATTTTTTTCATTCTCAAACTTATCTTCAAATTAATTTTATTCCAAATAAAAGTAACCAATAAATGATTTTTTCACTATTATTATTATTATTATTATTATTATTATTATTATTAAAATCTTACTTCCTGCCAATGATGACACGGACAGCATCATGCATAATTGTACGCGCAAGTTCTTCAACAGTATCAGGTAAAGTAGCGCTGAACAATGAGCGCAAGATTGAAGGATTTGAGCATGCTTTGACCACAGCATCAACCTGCTTGACCAAACCTAACTCAAAAAGCTTGTCCGATTCATCCAGAACAAGAAACTCGACCCTGCACATGACAATAAGTGAAACCTCAAGAAACGAGAAGCTTTTGAAGGTATAGCAACACTTTTTAACATTTGAAACTGGAAAGCCAAACTTGACATAAAATTGGTGTTTTAGTAATAACTTTCAACAAATTGAGAAGAAGCAGCTCTGTGCATTAGCAATGGAGACTCGAGTATAGTATTTGTCCATTTACGAAATTCATTATTCAAAAACCATTTGAGGAAAAAAAAGAAAAAAGAAAAAACAAAGGAAAAAACAGAGATTCAGCGTGAGTGGGGTTCTTACTTGCTCAAATCAAGTTTTCTTTTGCGTATAGCAAACTGCACCCGGAAAGGAGTAGATATGAGAATATCACAAGGAAGTTTTGAAAAATCGGCACCTTTCGCAAGCTGCTTAGTCATTAGTTTGATGTAGAACTTTTTTCCTTTAGCCAACTTCTTGCACTCCCTTGCTGTCTGAGCAGCTAATTCGCGTGTGGGGCAAAGAATCACAGCCCGAACCCCGTCTTTTGAAGCATGCTGCTTGTTGGATGATAACATTCATTAGAAAAACTTAATGGATATGATTATGGATAAATTTTTAAAGCCTTTTTTTTTTACCTGAAGTTTCATAAGTATAGGGCAGATAAAGGCAAAGGTTTTTCCTGAACCAGTTGGAGCACAAGCAAAGCACTCCCTTTCCTGTACATATATGGAAAATAAAATGATTACATAAAAATAGACACACACAGATATTAACATGAGAAATGATCTAACCAAGGAAGCATCATTGATCATAAGAATCTGGAACTTTTTTTTGAGTACTAGAGAGGGAGAGAGAGAGAGAGAGAGAGAGAGAGAGAGAGAGATGAATGAAAAAGTAAAAAACAGCTCAAATAAAAGGTCATACAGATAATAAGACTGGAATAGCCTGCCTTTGGATTGGTGTTGGCTCCTTAAAACCCAGTTCTGCCAAGTTGCGCAATAGATAGGACCTGCAGTTATACCTGTAAAAATAAAAGGACAAAACAGTCTGCTTCACACAGAAACTGGATACAAGAAAAAATATTAACACTTACACACAGCTAGGACTGCAAACATTAAAAGGCATATAATTGAACTGAAAATAGCATTGCATCCATCTATAACAAATTGAAGACATAAATGATGGTGAAGGATTTTCTTATTACCTCGATCTTAACTCTGTGAAGTCCATAAGTGGGGAAGGGATATTGCTCCCAGAAACATGAATATTATGAGTCTTCCGAAAAATAGCATCCCTCTAAACTCCCATTAACATGTAACACGTAGAAAAAGTAGAACCAAATGTTAGGCTGCCGTATCTTATTAGCTTAAAAAAAAGTACTTCATGTCTCCATCAGAATGAAACTTTACAACATCAAATCAAATAATAAAATAAAACAGTGGTCGTTAGAACAGAAATAAGTGACACTGAGAGAACCTCCAACTGCCGATGATATTCCTTCTTCTGCTGTACAACTTCATTTTCATTATGGTCCCCTGCTTTATCTACAGCTTTTGATTCCGAACTTTTAAATAAGCTGAACCCTTCGACTCGGTCTGGAAACCAATGTAATGTGAAAATGCAAAATCAGCTTATATTTAAAGTTATACACTTTTCACTTGGGTTCTCACACATCTGTAATAATCTAACCTCTCACATAAAAGGCCAAAAAAAAAGGATTTTTTTTTGTTTAATTTCCGATTGCCATTAGCCCACTTGATCAAAATTCACATTATATTAAATGACTAAAAATAAACCTGCTTTTCTCTTCCTCTTCTTATCAACACGCATCACGTCCTCTTCTGTCGCGGGGGCTTCATTTTCAACCACGTTTGACGGCTCGCCAACATCATCTGTGTCTTTTTTCTCCTAATTTTAGAGACCAAAAGTAAATATAAAGTCACAATGACGAGTCTCAACACATTCAAACGGGCAATGGCATGTTAAAAAAGTATACTTGTTGCATAACAGCAGTATTCCAAAAACCAAGAAAAAAAAAAAGGCTTCATTTTTTCATATGAAGGTCGAGTTATACCTTGAACCTGGCGAAATCATTAGCAAATTTTTTACGATTGAAAGTGATGCCGGAGAAGAGAAACGAGGTGTCCTTCTCCATTACAATTCGACAAATCAACAGTGAATAATTTAAAGTTCTTTCGCAGATGAATCAAGCTTTGGGGATGGTGCTCTGAGAACTTGAGAAGCAGAAAATGAGCAAACTCGAGTAGCTGGAATTAGGGTTTTAGGCTTTAGCGATTTAGGGGTTTTAGCGATTAAATTGAAGAGGAAAAAACGTGTTACCCTTGTGCATTCACGTGGCTAGACATGGCAAAACACGGGCTGGGCCCGGGCCGATGGACTCATAATCATGGAAGCGGAACCAGCACGGACTTAGGTCTTCCCCGGTCCATGGCCCGGGCCCAGGCCCAAATCTGAGCCCGTCCAAATAAATAAAAAAAAAAATTTAAAAACAAATAAAAGCATGTAGTTTTCTCGAGTTCGTCCGAACCCGACCCATCGCGTCGGGCCAGAGGTCGAAAGAACAAGGCCCTGGACCAACTCGATTAAAATTAAACCAGGCTCAGACCCATGGTCAACAAATTTGACTGGGCCAGGTCTGTGCCAAGTCGGTGGGCTGAGTAGCCCGTGGTCCCCTCTACACGTGCCAACACAACTAAATATAAGCATGTTTTATTTTTTATTATGTACTTTCTTTTTCCAAGGATGTTAGGAAAATAAATTAATAAAATGTGGAATACATTACTTTAGTGAATAAATGAGTCGACGAACACTGTAAGTGAGTCAATTTGAGCTCCAATCGTTATATAAATGAACTTGAATTATANGAACTTGAATTCGAGCTCGACTTAGTAATTAATATTAATAAGATTTAAGAAACTACATGATCATCTCAATTGCAGAGCCTTATGACTAAACAAGCTCGAGATTTAGAGCATGTTTGTTTATGAAATTTTTCAAAAAATTTCAAACATTTTAACTCAACCATTTTTTTTAACTCAATTTTAACCCAACCCCACTATCATCAAAATTATCAATATAATTAAATAATATCAATCAATCATTCATACACACCACATCAACATTAAGAGCATCTCCAATGCTATAGTTTTGAAAGACAATAATTTTTGACACATGTCAATTAATGATTGTAATGTTAATCCACATAGGAATAATGTTAAAAGACTAAAAATTTGAATCAAATTAGTATCTACAATGCACCAATTTAATAAAAATTTATTTGTATAGGTTGACCAATTATAACAATTTATTAATACAAGAATAATAAAAAAATAAACCAAATATAAAGTGAATTAATGAATCATCATGTTTAACATAATGTTAAATATTAGAAAGTGAGTTCAACATTGTCAACATTAAATGTCATCCACATCATCATGAAAGAGATAATGACAAGATGCATTAGAGAATAAATTAGTAACAAACTTTCAAAAGTTGATGATATTGATACTTTTTTGCAATGTCAAAAGTCATATTGGAGATGCTCTAATTCACTATTCATCTACTCACATTATTTTAATTAACCATCACTTCAAATCTCTCTCTTCTACTTTTACACAAATCAATTTTAATTATTTTATTTTAAGTATTATTTTAATATATCCATTAATAACTAATTATACCACCTTTTTCAAAATTAACCAAACCAAATCAAAAAATCCAAACAAAACAAAAAAATTTTATAAACAAACATGCTCTGTAATCGAGCCAAACTGAATTTATGATTTAAAAATTATATTCAACCTAGTAAATTCAATTAATAAGACGAGATACTTGTGAAAAATGACAATGCAGCAGAAGACATCAACAATCCGTTGTCGTCCAGTGGTTAGGATATCTGGCTTTCACCCAGGAGACCCGGGTTCAATTCCCGGCAACGGAAATCATCTTTTTTATATTTTTTTTACTTTTTACTTTTCTGACCTGTGAACAAATTTTTATAACACTATTTTTTTTCCTTGATTTTTTCTTTCGCATCTCCTAATTAAATCCGTAGCGTATGAAACTTGAAAATCACCACANAGAAAATATCTGAAATTTTTGGCACCACAAGCCAACAAATAACTCTCATTTCATAATCTTCAGGATATATGAAATTCAAACAAAACCAAATCCAAACCTGAAGCAAACTGGTTATGCTATGAATCAAGTTCGTAATCTTCCCCAAAGTTCTAGTCGACCAGCTCATTCGCCATTTTCTGTTTTCTAAGATCTTCATGTTCATGAATTTGCGGGATAAAAGTAAAACAATCAAATTTTGTTGAGAAACATGTAGCAGTCAAGCAATATAGAAATTTGTGTGTACCAAGTGCTCGACAATCACTCTGTCTTCTGGAACCTTCTGTCAGTGTAGGATAATCAAATTCACGCATAAGCAAGAAACCGAGAGGGTAATATACTGGAAAAACTAAAAATCGCTTTTCAAACATTTAATCAGCGCTTGGATCACATTTGTTGTGGGGAAATTGGGCATTATGAAGTGTTAGTGTATGATGTCTTTGCTCGGTACACATGCAGCAAAAATGGAGAGAAAAGGAAGTAAAGTAAATAAAAGAAAGAAATGGACTAGCCAGCACAAGAACTGTCACCAAAGAGCATAGAAAAATCATGATATATTGCAATGTATAAGCTGGCGATGCTCGTTGAAAATGATTGCATATAATATAATTAGAGGCAAAACTTGAGAAAGGAGGCACAAGAATTTTCAAATCATGGAAAAACATTATATTTACTCTGTGTGTGTGTGTGTGTTTAATACCCCAAATCATTTCATCACAGTTAACCACGATATTATCGCGATACCATTTAAATATTATTTACTATTTAAGCAAAAAAAAACTTTGAAAACTTACAGACTGTTCCACTGGCACCAATATAAAGCAACTAACCAATGGATCTATAAAATTTTGAAAAAACTTGTTTAAGTCAAATGTTGTATTCGAGTATATATCGGAATAAGTAGTTGCAAGCTGTTTGATGATGATAGTCTATCTACAAGTATTTGAAGCAGACCACATTTTGCTAGCATAATAGTAGCCAAATCTGAAAATGAAGTGAACTACACAACCACCCATTCCCGCTTTTGTTGCCAATTCTTCATCTCTGATCAAACCACCNCAAAGAGGGTTATATGGAAATCGGTGGTTTAAGCAATTGAACTGAATTTACCCATTTTTAAAGTGAATAAAGAATTCACTAGAATAGAAAATCGCCTAACGTAATAATTCCTCCCTTGAGATGGCATGAAATGCTCCTCTAGTATGACTATATAACTGGATGAGAAAAAGTAACTTCTAACTTACCCTCTCTTCATATGCCAAATAATCTTTTCAAGAACTCTACCAATTCTTATTAATTCTGTGGCAGCTTTTGGGGCAGGTCCCTATTCCCAGAATACTATGTTACACATATCTCACGAAAATAATGAACAAAATGTGAAGATCCAAAAGAACAAGGATTGTAAGGGGAAAAATAATGAAAAGTGTTTCCCCAAAACCTTAATTAAGTTGATAATGCCCAAGCAGTTGAGCTCTTTTCTGCATATGCACACTAAAAGTTCTATTAATTTCTTGAGAAGATGTAATCAGAAGTACAATAATCCAAAATAAAGAGAGGGAGATGATGCTCATGGAAAAAAAAAAATATATTGATGAAATAAATTATTGTAAACCGGTTGAATCCAAAACCTTATCTCTAATAAAATAGTTAATTAATAGCGAAGAGCATTAACTCTCCTCTGTATTGCTCCTCTTCCTTGTGATGCAGTATATAATAATATAAGTGAATTCCAATAGCATATCACCGTATCATCTTTAACTTAAATGCAATACCGAACAATCATTTAAGCAATCAAATGCCCAAAAATGCAATACCAAACAATAATTTCAGCTCTTCATATCTCAACAATCAGGTTACGAGCATAAATTTCCAAAGTAAGTAAATAGCCTGCTGTCCCAAATACCACTCTACACCCAATTTTACTCAACTTGGATATTACGTGTAGTTTGTGACTCTCCAGAAAACTCTTCAATTCAGAAATCAAAACTTCAACCAGCTGAAAAAAAAAATGAAGTAAATGCAAATTTCCATACTGATATTTAATGGCATGTTTAACTCTTCCATGGCTTTCAAAGTCTGACCCTCGAGAACTGATTGATCTTCGTTCATCACCATTTCATCATCAGCAAGAAAAAGGATATATAGAAAAACAAAATAATAATAGCCAAGTTAATCAAACTTTGTGGGTCTCACAAGATACAAGAACACATAAACAGATGAACAAGTGAAGTGAATGACACACCGAGACAAAGATAAACCACGGCTTAGCGCCGCCGCAAACCCACCTCCCTCCAAACACCAATTCTCAACAGAAACCAGCGGATAAAATCACCTATCGACATGGTTTATCGAGTATCAAACAGGAAACGAAACAATTTGTTTTTCACAATCCCACACAAATAGGAAAAGGAAAATCAGATTAAAGCGCGGACAAGCTCGAAGGCCGAAAGGCATATAGAAGGAAAGGGAGAGCTTGCCTGATGATTTTATGGGTCCCCTTTTAGGGGGAGTCGAGGTTTCATCCGCCATTGTCGCGAAATTTTGAGCTCCAAGAACAGTGAATTTTTTACTGTCTGCATATAGTGAAGCAATCCCGCGTCTTCGAAATTTTTCTTATCGCGCGCTTTTGAAAGTGGTGTTTCATATAATTTTTGCGTAAATTATTTTTTCCAACATGTAGTATACCTACTATTTTGTTGTTTTGCAACGTGTAGTATTTGTGCTGTAAAATACAACTTAAACTTCATGAAGATTACTAATTTACACATTTGCCTATATTTTGACCATACAGGTGTTGTATGGTCAATAAGTAGTGCAAATTATGAATGTTTATGAAGTTTAATTAATAAGTTGCGTTTTACAACGAAAAATATTGTTACATATCCCAAAAACACGTATAGTAATGAATTTATTTTTGTGTAATGGCAAATACTTTATCAAACTCAAAAGAGTACACCGACATATCTAACTGGATGCAACATAACAACTAATATGCTAAAAAGCAACAATGAGGCGTTAACCATAAGGGTCACAGGCCGTCCTCCCCCTCCAACTTCGGAATTGCCAAACAAAAGAGACAACCCAACACAAACAGAGAAAACTCCCCCTCCAACATGGGAACTGCCAAACATAAGAGGCGACCCAACAACAAACAGAGAAAATCCAGGAGGTTGATCAACCTAGGCCATCCAATTGAGGTAAAATAGGTGAATGAGATTAAATAAGGGAGGTGAGGAGGTCAATTAAC